GAAATTAGGGAGCCACCCTAGAACAACACAGAGGATGTAGCGTCATATTATTTCGTATTGCTGGGATTTGTAGTCCTCTATAGCGGGTCCCCTTACTCCCGCCCTGGCTGTCTCACCTCTATATTCTCCACACAAAAAAATTGCAGTGCATGGCGCTCAGTGTTCGGGTTTCCCTTGAAGAAAAGGTGACAACCCTAATAATTTACTTCTCATCTCCTGATCTGTATTAGCACAATGACACCTACAATCTTATTGGCTGCTCTGGGCAGCACTGCAGAGAATAATAAAGATCATTTATTACTGAGATGCCATTAGTTTTCTATCTCAGGATGCCACCAATGATCAGCCTGTCTCCTCTCTATGATCACTGCTCTCCCTCTGCACGGGAAACGCTGCTCTCACTTCCGCCCTGTGCCTTCCAGGGCCGCTCTGATGTTTCTATTGGTTGCCATAGTGACGCCCAGCCGCTTTCAAGGTCCTGAACCGTTTTCACCAGCGTGTACACTAGAGGGCGCGAGTCCCTTGTACAGATCGTGAGGCGGCCATTTTGTCGAAGCCCGGAAAACGTGTCAGGATAGAATCTTCGTGGAGCAATTTTCACTCGTAGTGTGTGTGCCCAGCGAGGAAAAGAAGGTAATAATGTCTTCTTGTTATGACAGGAGGGAGACATAAGGGAGTCCCAGCACTCTGTGTGGATTGGGCTATATGCAGAGTTCCACAGACATATACAATTACCTTCCCCGCACCTTCCAGCCGTTGGGAATGCCTGCTGTATGCTGTGAGCTCCTATTTACACCCTATTAGGCCAGAAATGGTGTTTCTTTCTCTGTGTGTGTTGGGGGCGGGGCAGTGGCACCATAGGGGGCGGGGCAGTGGCACCATAGGGGGCGGGGCTAGATCCTGGTCTATCATGAAGCTGGGCTGGGGACTGGAAGTGGAGGAAAGTTGGTGAGGGCTGACACCTACATACACTGCGTTCTGGCAGAGATGGTGGGGGGGTTAGCTTCCATTATAGGAGGGGATGTCAGTATAGTTTCTATACAGGAGGATTAGAAAGACTGCACATGAGAGTTCATCATCTACAAGGCAGAAGGGAGTGATACAGAAGATAATACCTGTGAGGGATGAGCCAATTGAAGGAGCAGACGTTCAATTTTTAGGTAGAGATGGAATAGACTTCGCTCAGGAGATGAGTTTTCGAGGATGGCCTGAAGGTGGACAGAGCGGGGGATGAACGGACAGGTTGTGGTTGGGAGTTCCAGGGGATAGAAGAGGCCTGGAGAGGAGCACAGGAGAAGGTGATGAGGGAGCAGGAAGTTTTGGGAGGAGTGTAGAGGAGGGTTTGGGGATGAGGTTGGTGATTAGAGTCGGGGGGCCAGGTTCAGAATGGCTCTGTATGTTGTTGTTGTTAATGTTTTGAATTGTATCAATTGTGCTATTGAAAACCAGTGGAGTGATTGGCAGAGAGAGAGGCGGGGGATGGAAACCAGTGGAGTGATTGGCAGAGAGAGAGGCGGGGGGTGGAAACCAGTGGGGTGATTGGCAGAGACAGGTGGAGGGTGGAAACCAGTGGAGGGATTG